GACAACGGGGTGACATGTGACATATCAACAGTGTCCTTTCATTACCTGGACTAGGGACAGTCAATAACCAGGCTAACTGGAACGACAGGACTTTATTAGCACCATCTGTTTCAGCTTTACTATACAACCTCTCCTGTTGTTTTTTTCTCATTGAAAGCTAGCTAAAGGCATCCATTAGGGCTGACTGTGGGCAGTAGGGTACACATCTTACCATGGGAAAGTGTTTCTCAGGATCCCACACTGCAAAGGGAGAGAGTGGACGACTGTTCACAAAATAAAAAGGAGCAAGTGATCGTATATCTCCCTCATGGCTTTGAAAAGTGAACTCTAACTCCCCAGATAGTAGTTCCTAAAAACTTGGATGGAGCCAGTGGTTTTGCACTCAATAAAGTTTCAGTTGTGTTTATGGGAATTATGGTTTGGAGTAGCTGAAGTGGGCTGTAGTGACTGCTTTCATGGAGTGGCTTTCAGTGAATCATAATTCTCTGCCCCCCTCTCAGTTTTTCTTCGGTCTCTAAATCTTGACGGATCCTCAGAAAAGGCTGTTTGTCAGAATGATCACACAAAAAGAAAGAAAAGCATGTTTAACCTATTACTGGGATTCTTCAAAACCAGAAAATTCACATAACAAAATGCAAGTGAGATGGATGAAGGGTCTATTTAATATATGATCTGTTAGTGGAGAAGGCTTAAGGGAAATAGGTATAAGCTCTAAAGACCGGTCCACAATGGACATGTTGCAACTCCTATCAGGGCTTCCTTTACTTTATTTGTCAAAGCTCCTCCTACAGGCCAACTAGAGTATCAGACTCAGTAAAGACATTTTCTTGCCTTTCTCCTCCTTTTTTAAACTGTGGTTAGATTTATTTTTAACTTAGCACCAAAGCTGGTAGCACCTCATGTCTTCAATACATTAGTCACTACAGTGAGGATAAGGCTGATGGTATTTTTCTGATTCTGATTCTGATTCTGATTCTGATTTTTTGTCAAAAATAATCCTATGAAAAGGCCAAACCCTCGCTGTCTGTGGCACTCAGCTCTGAACCCATCCCTTCCTATATACTGAAGACAGAAATCTTTTAAAACAGGTGACAAATATGTAGTTTAATTTAATAAAAAAGGCAAAATAATTAAGTAAACATTACTCAGGCAGGGGTAAACACACTACACACATTTTGTCTGCTGTGAAAAATAAACTACAGTGTCCTTGTTCCTTGTAATAAAGAAACATGTCACCCAGTGCAACTGTGTGGCTTATTGATGTGTTTTTAATATTTCCTGGACAACAATGGAGCTCTAGGGCTTTGGTTACACAGACAATGCTTTATGGTAGACATTTTATTGTTTGTTTTTGGTCTTGTTGTGAGATTTGTTGACAATAGGAAAAACATAGAACATCTCTAACCTTATCCTTTCACTTATAACAAGTAAAACAAATAGAGGTTGAGACAGTGACTTAATGACACACATGAAACGAGCCTTTTGGTAAGATCAAACTGGACAAGGACTTGCAAGGACTTGTTGATCATAAGTCTCCTGAAGACACACTGAGACTGCAGTTTCAGCATCATAGTTATAAGAAATGGCTGATGAGAGCACAAGCATGGCATATGACTGTCTGAATTATACACCATGCAGGACAAATATGGGGGGAATTAATTATGAAAGATCAACGTATGCCTTTGTGGCATGAAAGAAAAAAAGATGATTAAAAAGGTTGACTGGAAGAGCAGCTGTGGCATGTAACTGTTTCAGTTGTGGTTTCCCGACATAAAGCACAAAGAAAACCTAATGTAACACACATTAGGGAATAATGTTCAAAGTATTAAATATGTTGGAATGAGTGTAATAACAAGACTCAAGGAACGTCCATACAGACTAAAGAGAGAATTACACATGCCCATACCTTTACAGACACAAACACACACTGTGCACATAGCTTCAGACAGACAAACTGACACACACACACACACACACACACACAGACACACAGACACACACAGACCGACAGATATACACACAGTTAATAAAAGCTCCAAGCAATGGTACCCTGCAGTTCTTACACTCACCAGGAAAACCCACACTGCAGAGGCACTCACAGACAGGTCACGCTTGCTAGTTTCCTTAAAGGTCAACTCATCTACTTAAGAGGCACCAATTTACTTTAATGCACATTGTCCAAAAGAAGAGAGAAAAAAAAAAACAGAAAAAGAAATGACGACAAAGAAAAACATTGCTGCATATGTGGAGCATTCTTAACTGTGTCTTTTACCATTATAAAATGTGACTGCTCTTAGTTCTGTGAGGAGGATTAAATAAATATCTGATATCAAACCTTTTAAAAGAAATAAAGACTGTTAAAGATGGTGAGGCAACAAGCTTGTAAAATAAACAATAACTTAACTGACAAATGAAAACACGCTAACACTGGGCAGGCCGCAGCCCCCACATCGTCAACAGTGCTCTAATGACCCTCTCTAACACAAACTACGGTATGTGGCACAGAGAAAAAGTCTTCCAGGCAGCTCACTGACGCCGAGAGAAGAGGAGAAAGCCTCTTGATAGACTCTTGTAGATGCCATTCCCTATCACGCAATGCCTCTCAGTCATAAACACATGACAAATGCGGCCTTAATCATTTTTTACGAGCGGGGATGTGCAGGGGGCAGTGCATGGTTAGAGGGGAGAAGGGAGCGGTGAGCAGCAGGCGGCCTCCTATGCACAGAGGAGAGGGCTGTGTGGTAAAATCTCCTCTGGAACATCACTCGGCCAGCAATCCTTTGATCTCCACACCGCAATTACGCCAGCATCCAAATGAGCATGGAGTCGCCTCTGAAACAGACTTCAAACATGCACATGTACGCATTCTCATACACGTACACATACACTGTATAGGATTGGAGCCATGTGCTGCTCTCTCAACAGTAAATGATGTACTGTCTCCAGCAGAGAACCTGGGGATGAAAGGAGGCCTTGCTCCTCGTCTGATCCCTCCATTAATGATGGTTCGCTAAAGCTAATACTGTGTATTCTTGTCTAAACAAGGGCAGCTTGGTATGTGGTTCCCATACTCCAAACAGGATGATCTTGGTTAACAATGGGCTGTTTTTGGAGGCTCAAAAAGCTGCTACAAAAATCGATTCTGTTCCTAACTGTCTCTGCAATGTTACAATAAAATCAACTTGTAAAATAATGTTTAGTGGCGCATGCATTTAAAATTAATAACATTAACCTAAAGCCTGAGTGGCAGCATGTGCCAAACAAAGCAGCTAAAATATGAAACAGTCCTTGAAAAAGTGCAGAGAAGTGAACCTGTGAAATAGCCTGAATGGGTGTCCTGAGAGACACAGATAAGATTGGCTTATTTGCCTCATTCTGGGATTCGCCTTCTTTTCCTCTACACATTAAAGCTGAGATTGCAATTTGTCTAGCTGTTTGCTTTGAATAGTCCTTAACCGTATCATCATCTCAACTGTGCTGGTGGAAAAACACGGGGGCATGGCGACAGCCAAATGGCAGTCTGGCGTCTCTGCTGCAGACTAGCTGCCATTAGGGCTGAGAGCAGCATTTATTGTACAATTAGGGCCAGCTAGATCTACCTGTAATCATCTCCATACAGGTGTGAGCTCCTCTCTGGACAAGGGAAGTGACTCATCACTTGTCAAACATCAACACTTTGATGTCGGCATTGTTCACGGTGGAGCCCCTCAGGACACCTGAGCACTACTGTTTGCCTGTTTAAAACACTCTAAGATTTATTGCATTTCTCACAGTAAAAAAAAAAAAAAACACACACGCAACATGAAAAAAAAAACCTATTCCTACTGATGACGGATGTTCCACATGCCATGAATCATTTGATTTATGAGTTCCCTTCTTCCTCCCTTCCGTCAGACAGTCATACTTTCGTGTCAGGAACATTTTAACAAACAGTCATAGGTAAACAACTTCCCTTGTAATACAACACTGCCAAGTAAAGCACTAAAACAAATTTTCTAAGAACTGACACCACAAGCCTAGAGGGCAATTGGAAAAGCGTGATAACAATTCACAAGTTGGTGTTATTGACAAAACGGCTGTAGTGTGGAAAAGTAGCCCTTTCAGATATAATGGATGTCTAACACCAGCCTTCTAGATATGCTCTCACTGTGGCCAGATGACAACATTACTATAAAAAGTGTTTTTGACAGAACAGAGGATCATAGAGCTGAAAACACAGCGCACAAGTTTATTTAAAGCATTCAAGGTCATCCTCAGTCAGTTCACATTATGAATAGTGTTGCACCTGCAAAGTAAAGAGCACAAGTCTCTGTATATTAGCATTTAAAAGCTAAATGTACGTGCAAATGCTATTTTCCTCAACTCGCTGCATGTAAAGACAGCCTCTGGTGTTTCTGTGATCTGTGGGAAAATCACAGCTGTAAAGTGGCGCTTGTAAAGCAACAGTGTGAAGACAAAATATTTGGAGGAAAACAATTTTTAGATGTTATAATATTGGTGTTTTTCTTGATTTATTGGCTCCCACCATATGATATTAATACTTGTTTGGCTTTGAATGTACACATGTTTGTTTTTGTATTTTGTCATTTAAAGTCTTCGCTCTCTTTGATATCATATGGAAATGACAGATTTTGATGGGAAATGGGGACCATATGCCAGTATGTGCTTAATGAAGTGCAGAGTGTGGATGCTGGTTGGGGTTTGCAGAGCTGGATGTTGTGTTAGAGCTTACTTAGTGCCACCTCCAGGCAGATCCTCTCACAAAGATATGACCGTTTCTGTCAGCAGGAGACCACAGTCAGTAGATCAGCACACACACTTCTCACACCCCAGCACATGCAGACGCAGACGCATGCACGCAGACCTTTTATGGCTGAAATGCAGATTCAATCAAAGTTAGTAGAAATCAATGTAAATCTGTACATAAGTAGAAGGAAAGCTCTTTGGTGATGATTAATGAGAGCAATGAGACGGCTCTCGCCTTTTTTTGAAGCACTTACCATTTGTTCTTTTTCCTGATGTAGTCTTTCTCAGAGAGGTTAACGAGGTAAATCATTGGTTTGGATGTCAAAAACAAGTATTTGTTCAACACTTCGATCTGTGACAAAGACACAAAGCAAGTACTGAGAATCCAAAACTTTCCAAAGTGGCCTTTGAGGACAGCAAAGACAGAGATAAGTGAAGCCAAATCAAATTAGGGTCTGGTGTAGGCACTGTGGGGTGCGACTATAAAGCCTCTAAATCAAAATCAGTGCGGCCAGATGTCATTAGCTTGTACAAAAGTAATGTCAAAATACAACCAACAAAAGGCTGTGCATAATATTAACTTGCTATTTGAACAAAAGACGAGGAAAACACAAAAAACAAAAGAGGAGGAAACAGCAGTTGTACTTTTAGGTCAGATGAAAAGATTAGCGAGATAAATCAACAATAATAAATCACAATGTAACATCAAAGGTTTACCTCCTTGTCGTTCCAATCCTGATAGTAGCGGACGTGTTTCTTTTCATCCAGTACCCAGCTCTTGATTTTGCACATAACGTCCTGTTTGGGGTTAAAAGAGAATGAACAAGAAGCCATTAAAGGAGATGAAAAAGAATATAAACCCAGCAGGGTATGGGGTAATTATTTCCTAAATGCGTGGCATCCTGATGCCAAAATGAACAATGGCTGTGCTCGCATTCAAGCAGGAGTGGCCTGGCTTTGACAGGGATGGCATGCACAAGACCCCCTTCCCTCCTTTAAATCATGACAAAATGCCTTCTGGGGTGTCTCGCTTAGAGTCGCAGTTTTGAACATCAATATTCCAACGGGACTGTTTAATAATAAGGATAGATAGAGGAGACAAAATTGGAAAGAGCTGGGAACTAATTGGAAGTTGGTTAGTTAGGTGTAAATTATTGGTCCTTCCTCAGGCACTTTGCAGAATGCAGTCATACTGAATAAGCACTAGTGAGGTACAGAACTAATTATTCACTGTTTCTTCTGGAGAAAATATTGAGCATTTCCAACTATGTATGCCACATTCATTACTGAGGTACTTGTGGGTTGAGACCACAGGCAAGACTGGGTCTTGACAGGATCTGGAAGCGGAAAAGGGTGGGAAAATGGGAGGGAGGTAGTTATAAAATTTGTAATAAAGAAATTGAGCCTATTATTGTTGATCCAGCCCCACAGAAATTAGCGGAACACATTCTTTTTGTTCCTGTCAACTTGACCTCCCCCTTCATATAAAAACTCCTCCACCCCCTGCAACACTCCCCCTACCTCCTTTTTCCCTCCCCAAACCCTTGCAGCACTTCACAATCATACTCCCTTTTGAAAGAACTGAGGAAAAAATCCTGCCAGAGCCTCAATTACACAATGGCAGAAAAAGCTCCACACACTGACCCCCAGCCAGCTGCATTCACTCTCTGCACATCTCTCTCCACAGGAATTCTAAAGGCCTTTTAGTCAGGCAGCCAGAGTGCAGCCAGCGGGAGAGAGCGCAGGAAGAGCTGCATACACTCCGCCCGCGCCGTCCCAAGTCTTCACAGAGAGATTAATCATCTGTGAAATGGAAACAGCAAACGGCCAGTGACACAGGCTGAACCCGCTCCAGGTTTCCCTCATCAGCTCGCAGCCACCGTGCAGCGCTCCTCTAACAGGCAGGTGTTAATAAAAGGCATATAGGTCCCACAAGGGTCAAACACATATGCCTGCCACCATGAAGCGCCGCTGGTGGGCCAGCTTCTTATTATTGTTTTTTAAGGATAGGGATTTTGAGGATTCATACGGACAAAAGCAATGAAACATTGTTCTTGTAAACACAGCACCAGCAAAATGGATTGAAATCTTACAACAATGCATACATATGAGGCCTGTGCTGCTGCATGCGCATAAATTTAGCTTGAACTCACAATGAAATATTAAGTGACCTTTTTCATCGTGACAGAAATGTTTAACCACATTGTAAAATTTAAATGATAAATTCCAAATTTCTGATTTTGTTGTATTTTGCCTTGCAAAATCTCATTTTCTTCAGGCATATCTTGAGCTGTGAGCTCATGCTGCAACAGTTTTTTTTCATTAATTTTGCCCCCTACCAATCTGATTTCTTTTTTAGATTACAAAATTAATCGTCTACCCTTATGTGTTTTGTCTTGCCCCAATATCTTGTTTCAGCAGGAAGTACATTAAAAAAGTAGCAAGATGTACTCATTTGAATCATAATCTGAAAATGTTAGATATTTTTGTTTTATGAGTGCCTGTTCAAGATATATTACACACATTTGTATATACTATAACACTGATAGCAGGTCTCTCTCACAGTAATATGATAAGGTACAGTGTTTGCACACCTTGTATAGTAGTAACAATATACAGGAGATGAATGAATTATCAGGAATATTTTGAAGTTTATAACATAGAGATTTGTGTAGTTTTGTCATAATTATTCCACAATTTCACATAATTTTAACATTTATTTTTGATATAGCAAATCATTAGTTGGTTTTACTATAGTCTTATTTCACTTCCACTGACAGAATACATAAAAATGACGTGCTTAACAAAACTTTTTTAGGATTTTTAGGAAGCAGGTTAATGTAAACTACTGTGTCCACTAAAACCAACTCTGTAAGTGTGAATGCTGTGTCACCTTGAATCATATTAAGATTAACTAATGTAATATATAACCAGAAATATAATAGTAAAAGAGGATGCCATTAAAATAATTCTTTAAATCTATACAAGCCAGGTAAAAGCAGTTCTTGTCCTGGTAATTTCCGGCCACATAAAGACCTGTAGATTGTCACATTGGAAATTAGATCTTATTTCAAAGGTCTTGGAAATGACTCAGTAAAGAGGAAAATCTAAGGAAGTAATCACTGTCTTAATAGTTGCACAGAATTTCCTTTTTTATTTCATTGCATCCTGTGGCGCTACAAAAGAAAGAACAAGCACTATTATTTCTTTTAAACTGTATATTTTTAGACGTAGTCTTGATGCACATGTTCTGCATATAGACGCTGACATAAACATGTGTATATGTGTCTGTGCACAGCTGAGCGTGTCAAACGCCAGGCTCAGCCTGTGAGACAATCACACAATCCCTCCCATCTAAAAGCTTGGTGCAGCCTTTGATAAGCACCATTCTTTGCCATCTAAAGAGGTCTTCTATAGATTTCACTTGCCGACGTGTGCACAACCTTTGACAAGTAATGTATCATTTTTATTCATTGCCTAAAATTGTTAGCAATTATGTGCGTAAGCGGCCACCTGCCTAGCCTGAATGGCTCCTGTCTGTGGGGCTACAGGGGTGTGGGGAAGAGCTGTTGGCTGTAAAGGGGGGGTTTAGTCTGAGGGGAACCAACCAAACACGGGGCCTCTGCAGCAGGTGAAAAAGCCCCTCTCGTTAGTGTAATGAGTGGTCAGAGCCTCGGTGTGTCGGGGGCCTGAAATTGGGCATGCCGCTCCAAGTGAAAGGCCGGATCCCCTCGCCCATCCTAGCCCACTCCGATGATGGAGGGGCATCATGAGACATTTACAACCAAATCATTGCTAATGTTTGCGACTCAGCCTCATTACCTTAACAATATGACCATCTGAGTGTGTGTGCATCCACATACATTGTGATCCGACATCCAGGATGTGGATTCTTTTTCTGATATTGCCCTGCATTTTGCCCTGCACCTCGCTGCATATAACCGAGGAATCTTCTGTCAAAGAATATTCCAAACATTTACAGTATTCATAGCGAGGTATAGGCACATGTGTCACCCACTGTATGGCCTTATACAATTTCCTGAGCTGCTGTAGGTGTATAAGCATGAGCAAGAGCTGTGCCATGATTTGAGTATTACTTTAGATGAAAAGAGCTGTGTGGAAACACTTTCATTAGCCCAGTGCTGTGACCCAGGGTCAGCAGCTGAATAAGTAACTCTCTATTAATGATTTCTACAGCAGAAAACCCCTGACCCCTGATCACTTTCAATCTCAGAAAAGGAAAAAAAATAGGGCAGGGGGAGGGGTGAGACCTATTGGAGGGAGATTAAAAAAAACATACTTTTTTTTCTCCTTGGCCATGTGTGTGGGAGGGTTATTATTTGTGCCTTGCTGTGAGGGGGAGCAAAGGGCCTGCTGGGACATTGACTCACGTATTCTGGTTTGAGTTTCTTGTCACCGCCTCTAATGGCCGTCTTCTCTAGCTTGTCAATAATAGGACCGATCATCTCCTCATCCTTCAGCCTCAGCTCCTCGTGGATGATCTCCATATCCCTCACTGGGTCCACCGTCCCCTCAACATGGATGATATCCTCATCCTCAAAAACACCTGCAGCGAAAGGACACAAACACACGGAGAGTGCATCAGTATAGAATTATTATTTTTTTGCTGCACATATAATACAGGCAAAAAAATCAATGACATTGACTTCTTGAGATCGAATGTGAAGCAGTGATTAGATTTAGCCCAGAAAAATCGTTAGCTTTTTGCAGAGAATATGGGAAAAATAAACATCCACATGAAAAAGCACAGTGGGAGTCACAGGGAAGTCATAATAAATATAATAAAATACTCAGGAATATATTTAATATTTCTTTTCAGTGTCAGAGTGTCAGAACTGTAAGAAACCAGCTCACTGTGTCAAAGTAAGTTCCACTAAAATTGACTTTAAGTGCAACAAAACAGGCTTGTCTGTCAATCTGCATGAAGTGGGGAGTCTGTGGTCATGCATTTTGCAACCCTCTGTCTTAAAACTATTAGCCATTAAGTTAAAAAGTAGGAGAAATAAACAAAAGCGTGTATGATTTAAGAGAAAAACATTTGTCAACATTTACAGATGCTAGATGTCAGTCTTCCCTTAATCATTTGCGTCTGTGGCTGTGCTGGTGATTAGGTAATGAGGGTCTGAAGCAGACCATTTAGCCAGCAGCTGCTCTAAGGACTCCTTCTGATTCTCCAGCAGAGCTCAGGGGTGAGGGAGGGAGGGGATGGGGATATGGGTGTACATCTGTCACGTGAGAGTGACAGCCTTTAACAGTACTAATAGCAAATATAGTGGACTACAATATGATCTTTAATTTACAACCCATACAACTGGTGCACAGTTTGTTTTATAATATCACTACTTTTGCAAATAAAAGCGGGAGTAGAGCGCCTCAGTGGTGGAGGAAGTATCCAGGTCCTTTACTTAAACCTAGTATAAGGAGTTTTTAATTGGTTGTGAATATATTTTATACTGATGCCTCTATATGACCTACATAAATAAACAAGAGAATATTGGCTATTTCTGTACTGTTTCCCCTTGAAATCAATGAAATGAGGCGGTGGAAACACTACCGCTTTTGTCCACAGGGGCCGCCTGAATCAACAAAAAATTAAAAATCCTTGCTGCTGCTTTGAATAAAATGATTAATACTGTAATATAAACATCCAGCATTGACGATGCCACTTAAGAAAAAGTTTGGAAATATTATTAGCAAATGTGTTCAAATGTCAAAAGTACTATTAAGGTAACTGCCCCTGTGGCTGTAATACTATTATTTATTATTTGACTATTATTATTATATAATAGGATTATTATTACTGATGCAAGTAAGTAGCATGTTGTAGCTTGTTGAACTATTTTATATATATTGGGTTTATATATATATAACAGTGCTAAAAATATCAAGCAGAGAATGTAAATACTCAAGTAAAGTACCTCAAGTTTGTACTTTTTAATTGAGTAAATATAGTTACTGGAGTGCCTTCAGGTTAGATTTATACAAATCCTGTATTATGTTAGATTTGGAATATGCCTACACACGTCTTCATAAATCAGTCAATAACAGTGACATGTCAGCTTTCACACTGTGGCATAATGGGAATACCATCTCATTCAACAGGGAAGAGGATGTGATGTGTGATGACCTGGCTTTAAGTATCGCTGTGTTGAGGTACACTATGTTTGGAATGTGCATGGTGGAGTCACTTAACCCTATTGATCCATATTCACGTGTACACACCTGAACAGTGAAGGTCTGTTGACAGGTGAGGCCCTGCGAGATAATTACGTCACTACGATGATCCGCACTACTCATCACGAAGCCGTCACATTCATCTCTCAACAAGTTCCGACAGTGATACATATAGAAAATAGTGATGACTCAAAGCTGTGCGTAGTTGGGTAACAACCGGAATTCACTGCTGAAAAGTTTGTATAGTCTGAACAGTAAGTTATTCCACTAATCAGATAAATGTCTTGGGTGTCTACAGATAAAACCAGATCTTTCACTAACAAGAAATAGTGCCCGTGAGAGCACCTCTGAGTGATTTTTAGCTGCTCGGCCCATGGGATGGCAAAGTCAGTCTGTCAGTCAGTCGGTTGGTCCACTTTGGTCCAGACTTGTCAAATATTTTAACAATTGATTGCCATTAATTTGTTTTGACATTTATTTACAGTCCCCAAAGGACGAATTGTAATGACTCTGGTGATCCCCTGATGTTTCCTCGACACCATGAGGTTGACATTTGTGATTTGTGAGAACTATTAGATATAATATATAACTTTGTAGACATTCACCGTCCTCATAAATAACAAGCTAAACCAAGATGGTAAACAAGACCTGCTAAACATCAGCGTGTTTGCATTTTATTTGCGAGCATGTTAGCATGATTATGTTAGCATTTAGCTCAAAGCAACGCTGCGCTTAAGTACAGCCTCACAGTTGCATATAACGTAGCTGTACTCTTGTTCAATAATGAGAACCAGCGCTGAGTATCTTCGCACTGTAAGAGACACTAAATTGTAATCTAAACACCCACCAATGATCTTCCACATGCACAGAATATCATATCTTGTTCTTCTACTGGGTTAAGGGGGGATAAGTACCTGATTTTCCATGATACTAAACTATGGGGCTTTTACAATCTAGCACCACTCATCAGTCACATCTAAACATCAAAGCTCAACAACAAAATGACAGACACCCCAAAATCCTACACCGGTGGTCTCATTACTCATGCAAGCCAACAGAAGCTGTAGACTTTTGTGCAAGCTGTCATCCTGTGCGTTGTCCTCATGGTGAAATGAACTTATCCAATTACTCTTTGCCTAATCAGGCTGTTTTGGTTCCTCTCCTCTTGCAGAGGTACTCCACAGTATAAACAGTTCACTTACGCCACACAGAAAGGGGCTAATCAGTGGAATTATTGTTTTGCTGCGCCAATTTACCAGCTCCCTGTTCAGCACTGATTGGAATGAAAATTTGCTATTGTCTCTGTATGAACTCAGAAAATATAATGCAATGTAATCATTTTGTTAGGTGCAAGAATATACATACATTATAAACAATTATGATGTACAGTTTTGATACACTGTTTCAAATGGAAAATACACAAGTCTGTTGTTCAATTTAGTGCATATCAATTAGGAGCAAAGAGATTTTAAAATAGGTTTACTTGGTTAATAAACCACTCATGATTGGTATTAATCACTGTTAATGAAAGCACGAGGAATTACTATATGTCAGTCAATTTATTAAAAAAGAAAGTAAGCACAGTCATTTCATAACACATTTCTTACTTTCTCAAATGAGTAACTTTGTTTCTAACTATTGTTATACATACGTCATAAATCAAATTTTCAAAGAGGCTTTGAGAGCAGGAGCAGCTGATCACTCACTATTTAGTCATCAGCTGACAGTCTCCTCTGACTACCACATATTCCAGAGTAATTTGCTTTAATTAATTTCACCTAATTTAACATTCACATCTACTTTACCGCTGTCCCATTCAAGGCTTAGAGCTGGAGAACAAATGCAGGAGGTGAAAGAGAGAAGAGAAATCTGAGGGGGCAATCTCCACAATTAGTCCTTTAACAACTGGGTTTGGGTAGGGCTCTGAGACGACAGCTCTTATGAGGCTGCCGCGCCACACAAAGCCACATGCAAGACAGTAAAAACACACAAAAAAACAGAAGAATAAGGTTGGGAAGGCCCAGTTTCAGGAGTCAGGTCTGTCTCACAATTTGAATTTTACTGCTTCATTTCAAATGGTGTGTGTTTTGAAGACACGATTAACAGGTGCTCCTTTATTAACAGAACAAAAGGATTAGTCTCTGGAGGATGAGTGGTGTTCAATGGCCTGATTAGGGATCAGGCTAAGCTCTGCAAAATTATGGACTTGCAGCGGCACTGCAGGTCAGTGTTGCCTGAGAAGATATAACTCCATGACATTCACAAAAATGTTTTTTACATTAACATCAAAACATGAAAAAGAAAATCAGTGCAACACATTTAAGAACAGAGCCGTCAGTACGGACAAATACAACTTTCAAGTAACACCTAAAAACACCAAATGAGCTCAAGCTTATATCATTACTTTTCTGCCAGGTACACAGACAAGGCAGTCATCTGAGTCAAGTCAAGATCAATACTGATTGAGCTGCTTCCTCTGATGTTGCTACCTGGGAGGATATGTGGTCAACATAATTCAGTTAAATTACAGTATTCATTGACTTTTAACTTCCTGTGCATGTTTTCACATGCAAGATGGGTAAGAGCACATCTAAAGAACTTGCATTCCTCGCGCTGCTTTTAAAATGTTCATGCAAACTCAGTGCCGCAATTCTCCTGGTATTCAGAGCAGTAAAAGCTATTTTATGAGTCTGTCAGGAAAAGCACATTATGGATGACTTCCCAGAATAAAAAACACTAGCAATGCACACAAGGGTATTTATGTTCATTCAGGAAATATCATCTTGACATTCATTTTAGGATACATGAAATTGACAGCAATTTGTAGTGCACTGCTTCTGTAACAGAGTTTGTGGCATATTCAGCCTTGTTTCTTATGTCAATTATGGCAAATACATTGGCTGCTAAGAAGCGGTTTGACACCAGAAAATGGTGGGTTTGAGCCCTTCAGAGATATACTCATGTTTTCTACATGATCCCATCTTTCAAAATAGATCACAGTGAAATCACAGAGCTCGATAGTATGAATATCAGCACCTCACAAGGTGCATCCAATTCCTATGTAATCTACTGTAAACTGCAGTGTCTCATGCCAAACCGAGTATTACAGGTGCATCTTTGCACCATTTCTCATATCACTGACTGAAAACTAAAAAAAAGTCCATGTGGGGGGGAAAAGCCGTTCAAACAAGCCTGATCTGTGTGCAGTATAAAGGTGAATGTACTGGGGAGGTTCCAGTTTCTATGAACTCTGACAAAAAAACAACAGTGTTAATTCCCTTATCATTAGCTTAACCTCTGTCATTCAATTTATTTTGTTAAACCACGGAGCATGAGAGTGCCTTGATTGAAAGGAACCGACATATGCACACC